GAGCATCGGAGGGCCACCAGGGGGCACACATCGCCATGAATGGGGCCCAAAAGCCCATAAAAACACACTGTCACAACGCGTGCTGCGACGTGCCCCTCCCCCCCTCCCCCCAAGACCCGCCTGGGAGGGCCCCTTGGGGTCCCCCGGGGAGGCCCCTGATGGCCCCAAGGTCTGCCAGAGGGCCCCAAAGGTGGGAGGGGGGGGGGCGGAGGCCCTGGAAGGCCCAGGGAGGCCCTGGAATGCCCCAGGGAGGCCCTGAGCCAGGGGGGGCCAGGGGGATCCCCAGAGAGCCCCGGATGGCCCCAAGGGCCCTTCTGATGGCTCCTGAGGGCCCTGGGGCCCAGACAATCCTGAAGGGCCTTGGGAAATTTTGGAGGGCGTCAAGACGCCCTGGAGGGCCCTGGGGGGCATCAGGGGGGGCCCAGGGGGCCCCGTCCCAGAGGGCACTGTGGACCTTGGAAAACATACTGTCATAGAATGTGCTGTGACGACGCCCCCCCAGGAATCGTTTGGGAGGCCCCAAGGAATTCAGGTAATGTCAGGTGGCGCCACTTCCTCTGCACTGGGGTCTGCGTAGCCACAGAGGCCACCAAATGGAGCCCAAACACTTCCCATAACAGCCCAATGGGGGCCCAATGGGGGGGACACGAATTGACCCCTTGGCCCCATATGCCCAGGGGGCGTATTTCGGCACAGCTCGGCACAACCCCATTGGGGAATTGCGGAATTGTTTTCAGACTCTATACGTTTGTGTGTAAAAGTTGCGAGCTTCTGTGATTAAGATGCGGTGGGAGGCATGATGTCGCCTCCTTATTCTCGTCCTTTCTCCTTCTCGTCCTCTGTCTTGGCCAGGGCCCCTGGTGGGAGCGGGGGTGCTGGCGTTGAAGGCTCTGGGGGTCAAGATCCTGGCACCGATTTAGGCGTGGGCCCGTCTGGTGGAGGCCCCCTGCTCCTGTGTCAGCCGCAGCGGACAGCTCGTGGGGCGTGCCTCCCCCCAGCAAGAAAAAAAAACGAGCAAGCGCCGTATATAACCCCCTATTCGAGGTTCACGGCGGTGACACCTGGAAAGGGGGGGGGCGCCTGTCACAGTGCTCGATCAAAACCTTTACATAGGCAGCCAGCAAGATCTCCAGGCCGCCACGGCTCGGAGTGCAGCTCGTGGGATTTATTATTCCTCTCCCTATTCCTCCTACGTAGCCGATTTCGCTGAAAACGTTTGTCTTTGAGGGCGCAGCGGCCACGTGCGGGGCCCATGCCATTCCCCGCGGTGGCCCCGCGACGACGTCGAAGTCCCTCCAGTTGTGGCTGGCCCGTCCTGGCCACGGGCGGTCGGGCCCGTGCATGAGTGGACGGCCTGGCCCCCCAAGGAATTTTCGTCGACTGTTCGTCGATTTCGTTTTTCTTGGTGGACAGGCCCTGGGGGGCCAGTTTCAGGCCCAGGGGCCCTGGGAAATGAGCCCACGGCGCGAAATCGATGTCGAAGATGGGGTCGAGAGCCTCCCCAGGGCTGTCTGGCCCGCGCATCAGTGGACGGCCTGGCACGCTGCAGCACCTGCCACCGCCTCCGCTGCTGCAAACCAGAGGCGGCGCTTCCACGGCCTCCGCCAGCACGTGGGTACCAAACGCAAAAAAAAAAACACGATGCGATGCGTGTATATGTATCAACATGGGTGATATGGGCACGTGTTCTTGTATGTGTGACACAACATTTGTGGAGCCCCACACTAATGTAATGGCGCGGTGACATCAAAATAACGTGGCGGGAACGTATCCTACAAGCTTGATGGGCGTGTGATTTGGACACTAAACAGCACCCGAATCATCGCGCTGGCACGCAGCATATGCAGTTCTTCAAATATATCATGAGACGAAGTACAAGAGACATGAGTCACAACACAAGTTGTGACATGCCACATCATAAAACGAATCATGGATATGTAACGGTGAACTCGTGCCAAGTTGCGTACGACGTGTGCCACAGGGAGTGTTGCCGTAGGTTTTGCACATTGATTGCGGGCAGGAGCTGTGTCTGATTTCGCCACCATAAATATTGCGACGCGCGTGCTGGCCTGTATATCTGATGGCCAGCAGTATCGCATTGATGCTGATGGGTGGACTGTCAGAACGCGCGTAGTGACATCCACGCATGCAATCAGAACGTGCGACGCATACATATCACGATAATCGCAACGTCTGACCCACACGTCACAGCACGTGTTGTGATGCACGAGCTGACCCAGATCGTTGAGGGCTGGGGAATGTCATTACGTCTGGTTGTATATGCATGTGAATCATGTCGTCACAACACGCGTTGTGACCATCCAGTCCGCAAGCCCACGATATCACGACAATGCCATTATGGGCCAGTATGCACGTGTCACAGCATGTGTTGTGACGCACGCGCATGTGTGTCATGCCAATACTTACAGTACCATGTATACGTGACGACAGCAACTCATGACCCACACGTCACAGCACGTGCTGTGACGCACGGGCTGGTCCCGATCGTTGATGGTTGGGGAATGGCATTACGTCTGGTTGTACGGGATGGTGGATCAGGTCGTCACAGCACACGTTGTGACAGTCCAGCCTACAAGCCCAAATTACCACGGCCATACCATCATCCATCAATGTATCATATGGGTCAACACGCACGCGTCACAGCATGTGTTGTGACGCACACGCATGTGCGTCATGCCAGTGAATACCATGTCATGTATATGCGAGCGTATCAACTCCTGACCCACATGTCACAGCACGTGTTGTGACGCACGGGCTGGCCCAGATCTTTGAGTGTTGGATGATTGCATTACGCATGGTTGTGCAAGCTTGTGGATCATGTCGTCACAACACACGCTGTGACGATCCAGTCGTCAAACCCAAACTAGCACGGCAATGTCACCATCAAGCAACCAATTATATGTTTCAGGACGTACGCATCACAACATGTATTGTGACGCACACGCATGTGTGCCATGTCAGTGAATACAATGCCATGTATATGCGACAGTCGCAGCTCCTGACCCACATAACACACCACGTGTTGTGACGTACGGGCTGGCCCAGATCGTTGATGGCTGGATACTGACACTACGTCTGGTTGTACAGGCTTGTGGATCATGGTATCATGTGGATATGTCACTGGAAATGTATTGGCTCAAACCAGTGCATATTGCATTGTATTGATGCCTCCGCACAAAGAGACTGCACCAGCACTTCTCATCGATCCTGGATGGTGCGACAAGTTTGATGCGGACTCTTGCGGCGACGATTCGCCGAAGATCTGGGAAGTTCGAAGTACAAATTGCTTCATCCGTAAAATTGGCGATATTGTTTACGTACTGGAGTGCCGTCCGATTGGATCAGGGGCTTTGAAGGGGCTCAACCGCGTGCGGGGGGTTGCGAGGTGGGGTGGGACACATGGGCCATTTACTAACCTTGACGATTTTGATAAAGAGTACAATAAGCACAAAGTCGACCGCCCAACAATCGAGCGCATGGTTGCGAAGTGGCGGAGAGACAGCAAGAGTGGGCGCCTCGTGCACCCAGTATGTTGGCACCTCAAAGATTTTCAAGCGTTGTCTGGCAGTGTCAAACACAGTGGCGGCCAAACTTGGACGAAAATATGCCCAGAAGAAATCATTAAGTCAGTTGATGCAAGCCGCTATTTTGAAAGTGCTACACGTGGTGCGCCTGCAGGGCAAGCGGCGTTGCAAGACGCGATGGAAGAAACTCCCCATCCTGCCGCACAGGCGGGTGCGTCTTCGGGAGAACCCCATCAAAGCACTTCTGTGGTTCAAAGTGTCAGCCGTGGAAATAGGTCGCGTTCCCGCAAGCAGCGCAGGAGGGCCCCGCGAGCAGTGGCAGAGGTCCGGGGTGCCGATGTCCTGGTGGACATCCAGGGTGAAATTAAGGCAGGGTCAGAAGACCTGGTGCGCACGTGTTCGTTGCGTGACTGTTTCAATTGGCCCCGCGACCTTCTTTCCGCTGTCGAGAAACACTTTGGAACTGGCGCGCAGTATCGGATGGCGCAGTTGTTCAGTAGTCTGGGAAGTTACAGTACGGCATTCTCAGGAGTAGATGCGCCTGGCGTTGCCATTGCTCAGCTGTCTGAGGTTATGAGCCGCCACCTAGGGATGACAATCAATAAGCTGGCTCACATCTCTGCAATAGAGAAAGATCAACAGTGTCAAGCAGAACTAATTGCAGGGCCGTCACCGCCAGTCCACTTGTTCAATGATATTCGCGAGTTTATGCTTCCAAGATTGCGAACATTGCTTGAAGGGCACGAAGATTTAAACTTCGATTCAATACAACACGTGCTCAACGTTGCCAGTGAGGCAGTGTCCCCATCATGCCAATGTGTATGCTGCAAGTCGTATTGCAGGTTCGATGCAGGAGCCATCCACTTCGCAGGGACACCTTGTGTCGACTTTTCCCACATTGGCAAACATGAGAAAGATCATGGAGTGACGATGTTGGACTTCCTGGTGTGGTCGTGTCTTATGATTGCGTCGCAAGTACCGATCATAGTCCACGAATGCTCAGACCTTTTCAAAAAGGAGTACCTGGACAAGGTTTTCAGCAAAACATACATCGTGCAATCTATGGTCGTTGACCCTGCATCAATGGGCTGGCCAAACAGGCGGAGGCGGAGGTGGTCAATTTTATTTCACCGGAAACTGACAGTAGTGCACAACTGCCTGGAACGTGTCATTCCTCTCTTCTATCGAGTCGTTGCTTGCGACCTGCACCATTTCCTTGTAGCCATGGAAGATGAACTTCTTGAGGAGTTGCGTTGGGCGTGTGGGCGCCCGGAGACCCTGTGGGCAGGCGAATTGCCAACTGAGGCCCGTCCAGATTTTTTTCGGAGAGCTTTGACGAATTTCGAAGAGCGAAATCTTGAAGACTACCTCAAAGCCAATCCTTCTGGTTGCGTTCACAATCTGTCTCAGAAGTCCAGGGTCGGGCGCGGAATGTCGAGTAGCCCTGGTGGCCACATGCACACGTTGACGAAGAATTGCGGCATGGAGTTCATCACGAAGAAAAACCGATGGATCACGCCCACGGAGCTTTTCCTGCTGCACGCTTTCCCAGTGCGCCCGGAACTTGCAGATCCTCAAGGCATGGCTTTCGTAGCAACCAGTTTAGCGGTGCGTCGCGCCGACCGGCGCCGGAACGCGATGCTCGACCAGGTAGGGAACACAATGAATGTCCACGTGGCTGCTGTAATGCTAGCGTTTGCGATCTGTTGCACAGAGCGAGCTGATCAATCGCTTGCTGCATTCATCTAGCAGCAGGCCATGCCAGTTTCAATTTAATCGCTTCACGAACCTTGCAGTGAGTACCTGATAGTGCATTTCGGAAGGACGGGGGATTGTGATACGATGGAGGGAAGAGAGAATGGGGGCACCACGGCCATTGGATTTCCGTTGTGCACTGTGTTGGGTCAGTGCCGATATCTGTTCATGAACTGACTGAAGCGACATAGCAGTATTCAGTGACTGTGTCTCGCACTCCTTATCATCTCGCTTTTTAAAAATAGTGCCATATATAGAAAGAGAGACATATAGGTATGGAGAGAGAGGGGGATATATAATGAGGGGGAGAAAGAATGAGAGAGAGATAACACATACACACACAAACACACACACGCACACGCACACACGCACACACACACACATACACACATACACACACACGCACACAACACACACACACGCCCCCTGGCTCTCCCCAAGGCCTTCTGGACCCGTGCCCCCTGGAGGCATTCCAGGGATTTCCGAGGCCGCCCAAGGGCCAGGTGGACGCCGGCGTGTCGCCACTTCGGGGGTATAGTTTTCATTTTCCTCAGACGCCATGTCAGTGACGTTGCCCTTCTTGCCAGGGCCGCCCAAGGGCCTTCTGAGGCCCTTCTTCTGAGGCCCTTCAGGCGGAAACCTCCGGGGCTCTGGGCGCTCCCCCCAGGCCCTATGAGGACTTATGGGGGTGTCAGACGCTTCGAAAGTTTTCTGGGAGACCTTCGGAGCCCCCTCCCAACGAGTTTTGAAAAGGGAGGGTACGTCACAGCACGCGCTGTGACGGTGTGTGTTTTCAAGGCACCCAGGGCCCCAATGACAATTCGTGGCCCCTCAAAACCGAGGTTTCCGGCGCCATCTGGGGCGTTCTGACCCCCCTGGGGCATTCACAGGGTTCACCAGGGCCGTCATAAGCCCTCTCAAGCGATTCCCCTCTCCCGCCCACTCCTTCATTCCCGTCCATACCTCCTCCCCCAGGGAACAACGCGTCACAGCATGCGCTGTGACATTACTTGCCTTTCTCCATTATCCCTCCTTTATTGTCCCTCCTCACACTTCCCATCTCCCCCCAATCCTTTCCAGGGGCTTCCTGGGCTCGCCGAGCCCTTGGGGCCATCGGAAGCGTCCCAACGCCCTCCGAGGCTTCGGGCGCCATCTGGGGCTATCTGGCCCCCCTGGGGCCTTCCCAGGGTTCACCAGGGTCGTCATAGTCCCTCTCAAGCGATTCCCTCATCCCTCTCCCTCTATCCCCTCCCTCGTTCCCCTTCCCTACCTCTTCCCCCAAGGAACAACGCGTCACATCATGCGCTGTGACATTCATTGCCTTCCTCCTTCCTCCATCCTTTATTGCCCCCCTCCATCCGTCTGCCAGGGAGGGGACAGCCCCAGTCCAGTGCTGTTGCCCACGCGTGGCGCAATATTGTTCAAGCGCCAAACACGTCTCAATGACAGTCACCCGCAGCTGTGTTCCATTCAAGAGCTATTGCATATGATGTACTCTAGCCACCTTGCATCCATATTTGCCCTGTACAACTTGTTCACACACTCCGGCCTGCAATATTTCCACGGCATTATGGCTGATATATCATCTGTGGACAGTATTGCTGGTCAAAGCTCGACCTTACCAGGTGATGCCGGTAGCCCAGAAGAGCTGAAGGCGCCAGAGGAGCTGCTGTACGCCCCAGACATCCCCATCGAACGACGCTTCCCGAACACAGCTGGGGTCGTGCGGCTTCAAAAGCTCAGGACTTGCTACGAGGTCTGCGGGCTCTGGAGTCGCAGAATCCCTCTCGCGCCCCCCAGGGAGGAGGACTGGGGGGAAGAGGAGGAGGAGGATGAGGAAGATGAGTAGGAGGAGGAGGTGGAGGAGGAGGAGGAGGAGGAGGAGGAGGAGGAGGAGGAAGGCTGCGGGCGGCGGACCCAACGCGGAGAGCCAAGCAACGGATCAGAGGGTGCAGAGGACGCTTGGGATGACGCACAGCACTCTCTGAAACAGCCCGGCAAGGCGAGGAAAACTCACAACCGTTCGGCCGCCCATCTTTGGAGGGGGGGCAGGAACCTAGAAGAGGACAGCCCCCCTAGGTTCTCCTCTTCTAGGTTTTGCCCTGGTTGCTTTATATAATGCCACTTACAAAGAGGGAGAGGGGGGAGGGCGGAGGAGCGCGAAAGGAGGACGGCGCTCCCCACCAGGGCAAAGCCCTGGTTGACAGCCCCCCCCTTCTGACCTGCAGAAAGGCAGGGCGCGGGCGCCGCAAAACCTGGGAATGAGCCAGGATTGTGGCAACTTGAAACAGTCCCCTGGCACGCTCTCGTGGCAATCTAAACGGTCGCCTGGCGAGGGCCCGTGGACATTCACAAATTGTTTGCCCCAAGGGTGGGGCAAACATTCGGTGAACGATGGGATCGGTGGGGGGCCTGTGGATTGGCAGCCAAAAAGCAGCAAGACGAGGAGGAAAACGAGGAGGAGGAGGAGCAGGAGGAGGAGGAGGAGGATGAGGAGGAGGAGGAGGAGGACGAGGAGGAGGAGGAGGAGGGGGAGGAGGAGAAGGAGGAGGAGGAGGAGTGAGGGAGGAGGGAGGAGGGAGGAGGATGGAGGAGGGAGGGAGGATGAGGAAGACGAGGAGGGAGGAGGAGGAGGAGGATGAGGAGGAGGAGGAGAAGGAGGAGGAGGAGAAGGAGGAGGAGGATCAGGGGGAGGACGACGACGCACGCCTCTGGAGCACAGTTCGATGTCTGGGCAGACTAGACGCTCTAGGACCGGCTTACAACCGAAGATTTCGTGCACGCGCACGCCCTATGAGGATCCACAACTTGTCAATAGTTGCATCCGACCCTCAGGCAAACCTGTCAAGCTACAAACGTGGAGTAGCCCCCTCCACGCAAACAAAAATTGAAACGGATACGCCGGGAACCATCAATCACTGCGCGGGGCCCCCAAACCCCGGAGATGGTATTACCTCCTACCCTGAAGCAATCCAAGCATGCTTCTGATCGTGGTGCTGTCCCACCCGGCGGCTCGCATTGAAGCAGCCGCATCACGGGAAGCAGAGCGTCCCAGCATGCCTCAGGGGGAGGAGGGGGAGGAGGGGGAGGAGGAGGAGGAGGAGGAGGAAGAGGAGGAGGAGGAGGAGGAAGAGGAGGAGGGTTTTTCTTTTATCCCTCAGGTGAAGCAGATGTCATGTTCGACGGCATGGTTTGGTTCGGCTGGGCAGGAAAATTTCGTGAGGCACAAAGACAATGACCGGGAGCAAAGTCACACTCTTCGCCACGCAGTTCACAGTATCAAAAAATATGGCGTGGTCGAGGAGAACCGCGGGTCTGCTTTCTCTCAATTATCCCACGGTGACACGTTGCCCCACAACATGATAACATTTGCGCACTACGCCAAGGGTTTCTACATAGCTAAGCAGCAGTTCCCTGACAATCCAAACGTCAAGTGCACGGAAAGAAATGGATTGCACGTCATTGCTTTCAGTTCCAGGATGCCCAAGGAGTGCGTTGCATGGATTCGGGATTTCTCCAACCAATTCGTCACTGGAGGTGTGAGTTTCGTTGAGACTATCGATTGGGTTCGAATCGTTGATGCGCAGTGGCTCGCCCATGCAGATGCAAACAAAATCCATAAAGTCGTTGGCGCCAAAGGCAAAGACTCACTCCGGTCCAAGACGTGGGAGTGGATCAATTCGAACCATAAAGATTTGGTCCCCCCCAAAGGGGAAATCATACCGACCATGGGTGTCTTCGAGAATGCGAAAGCACTCATTTCTAAACTTGACGAGCTTGGATGGGAACAAAAATGGAGAGCGCACATGTTCGCGATCACTTGCTTCAATGACGGTCGCGTCAAAACATCTTCGGTCATAAGTACACTGAATAATTGGTTGTTGTTCATATCCAAAAAGCAAGTGAAAGACGTGCTGTCAGAGGAGAACCTCGAGATTTTTGCTTTCCAAGCTTTTGCCTTCATGGTCCCAACGACTTCTCAGAAGGAGGAGGAGGATATCTCAGCAGGCATGGGCGATGATGCCCCTGATCCCATCAGAGAGAGATCTGGAGTGCTCGACGAGATGGGCATTGTTGACGTAGCCCTGCGTTCGGATGGCACCCGCCCCCCGTGGATCTTCTTTACGCAAGGCCGGGCCGACCAACCTGCCATGTTCAATTTGGCGCTCACAGATATATCCCAATCCAAAGTCTACGTGGCGGCCATCGCAGACTTGAAAAAGTGCAGGGAGCTGGGCATATCTCTAGCGCAAGCGCCAGACGTGAGCAAACAGAAAAAGCGAGGCACTGGAGGCAAGGCGAAGCCCAACGCCAAACGCAGGAAACAGGCAGAGGTCCCTGGTGAAGGCGATGCAGCTTCGCCTCCAGTTGCCCCCCCTGCGACAGACGGCGACGCTCAACCCGCAACGGGTGCGGGGGAATCCCCGACGCCTGCCAGCAGCGAGTTGCCCCGCTTGCAGCATATGAAGCCCATCCAGTTCGTTGATGCAGTCAGCCTCGTCGACAGCTTGGTCTCCTCAGATTTTGCGCTGAGCCGGCCCATCACCTGGCTCGAGGACCTGCAGCTCGTGGTTGACTCGTCGATCGAAGCCGCCACGGTTGGTTGGCCCACGGAGGACAGATCTTCGACGTGCCGTCCCTTGAAAGAGTACGCTTTCTCCATCGCCCTCGAATTTCTATTCAAAGAGCAGGTCACTATGGGTAGGAAGTTAATCAAAGGCTGGTCCTCCCTACGCGTAGAACTGAAGAGGGTGATCGTGGAGGCTGCCCGGAAATGTGCTGAAAAATCCATCAGGAGCCGCCCAGGCATTACAAAGGACAGCATCGCTGCAGCCCTCAAGACGCGTGAGTCAGCGCGCCGGGAGGCCGAATCGGATCTCTCAGAGAACGCGAAGATGGTTGTCACCATGGCCGACGACGAGGACGAGCGCTTCAGCAACTTCAAGAAGTTCTGCGCAGCCAACAACAGCAGGGTGCCCGTAGCGTACCAGCCAGCAGTTCAATCCCTCGGACTGGGATTTGGGAAGGGCCATGGCACTGACTTGACGCCCTTCGATGACCCCCCGGAGGAGGCGTCACACCACGTGCTGTGACACCATGTTTCTCAGATATTGGTGTTCGGGGTGGCCTGGTTGCCACGGTTTGGTCCGCCTTGAAATTGTGGCCAGGTCTCCTCCTCCTCCTCCTCCTCCTCGTCTTCCTCTTCCTACTCCTCCTCCTCTTCATCCTCCTCATCCTCCTCCTCCTCCTCCTCCTCATCCTCCTCCTCCTCCCCCTCCTCCCCCTCCTCCCCCTCCTCCTACTCGTCATTCTCGTCCTCCTCGTCCTCCTCTTCCTCCTCCTCCTCGTCCTCCTTCTCCTCCTCCTCCTCTTCCTCCTCCTCCTCCTCCCCCTCCTCATCCTCCTCCTCCTCCTCCTTCTCATCCTCCTCCTCCTCCTCCTCCTCATCCTCCTCCTCCTCCTCCTCCTCCTCCTCGCCAATTGAGTTGCGATATCGTCCGCGCCATGGCACTGACTTGACGCCCACCCAGGACCCCCCGGAGGAGACGTCACACCATGTGCTGTGACATCCTGTTTCCTGGAGATTGGGGTTCCAGGGGACCTGGTCACCACGGTTGGGTCTGCCTTGAAACCTTGTCAGAACGCAGAACATGCAAGTCTGAGCTAAAATGTGGGGTGTCAGATCCTTCGCGCTGGTGGGGCAACATCATGGCCATGTTAGGGGGGGGGGGGGCTGAGGACAGAACTTCATTAACCAGCTCATGTCTACCACGGGAGCCGATTCATTTCAGCCAACGGCCTCTTTGAAAGACGTGGTTACGGTGTTGTGGCCGCTCATGCAGGAGTGCATCAGCGAGCATTGGCTCAGTATGTGCAAGACCATCGGCCAGGAGATGGCACATGTCGGCCGAGATATCCCGTCGAACGTGCTTGAGGTTTTCCCTGATGTCGATGTCACGAACGAGTTGTTGTCCAGGCGGAGCGCGTATACTTTGCACAGCCTCACGGGATTGTTTCTTCGAGCAGGAGCGACAAAAGAACTTATCATCACGCTCACAGACGAGAGAAAGGACCCGTTGGATACACGTGCGTTGCAACTCTTGTCAGGGAAGCTCCAGGAGCTCATGGTGAGCGGGGTTCTAGGTGGCAAACCTGCTGTTGCTCGGGAGATTGCGATCATGGATGGTCGCTTGATCGGCGTGGCTCCCGGGGTGTGGGTCGCCGTCTGGTCGACGCTCATCCAAAAAATCTCTCGGCAGCTAACTGCTGGGACGAAACACCTTCTGGAAGATACCACGAGGGTTGCGTTGACGCTGAACGGGGTGGGTGCGTCGGAGGATCCAGCTGGGGCACAACGAGAGTTAGATGCGGATGATGATGGCGAGACCGAGCTTGGCGGCTTTGCAGAGGACAGCAGCGCCGCGAAGGAGGGCGAGAAGGACATCTCTGTAAAGAAGGAGCCCGTGTCGGCTGACCATCCCGCGCCGGGGGGCCCTCCTGGGGCGGCAGCCGGCAGCGAGCAGCAGCAAGAGGCGCCTCAGACAGGAGCGCCGTCAAAGGCTCCGCCAGAAGGGCCAACGCCATCTGCGCAGGACAATGACACTCCAGTGTTGGGGCCAGATGGGTCACAGATGGTTGAATTGGGCTTGCTGAAGAATATCTTCAGCTACGTCGACACCGAGGCGCTGTCAGCAGCCACGCCTGCAATCGCAGGAGAGACTGCCAGGATGGCGTTTATGACGAAACACTCCCAGAAAGACGCAGTGTTCAAAATTCCCCAAAAAGAGCTTACAACTGCCTACGTCCACCAGCTATGCCTCTTCCTCGAGCTGGAGATGGTGATCATGGCAGGCTCGGAACCAGAGGCGGGTGACAAGGTGCGCGTGGCCAGCGGGCCGCAAACAGAGAGCCTGCTCTTCACCAGGGAGGCGATGAACGACAAGCCAATGTATTTCGCGGGCCCTGTCAGGACCACTCGCGGCACTGACTCCTCGTTCCACATCTGCACGATAAGCGGCGTGGACGAGAACAACAGGGAGACGGGTATGCAGATTCCGTTGTACATGGTGAAGAGCCCTGAGTACTCGACTTTAACTTCCTCTTGCCCGATCCCAGCCTGGCTCGTGGCCGTGTGCGGCGAAGGGGAATCCCCAAGCATGCAACCAGTATTCACGACCTTCATTTTGGAACTACCTTATAACCTGGAGATTAACAGCACGAAGGAGATCAAGGTTGCCTTCCCTGGATTGGCGCCGATTCCTGATCTGCAGCAAGGCCCTGATAAGCCCGGCGCAGTCCGCACGCTGACAAGGGATATGATCCCAGGGGAGCTGCCGGACGGCGTTGCTCGTGGTAAAGGCAAAGGCAAAGGCAAAGGCAAAGGCCGGGGTCGTGGCAGGGATGCCACAGCCTCATCCATGAACGAGCACCCTGTGCTGCAGGACCTCCTCGCTTTCGTGGGGGCCAAAGCAGCTTTGACCCATGCCCAGGCGGCCGCGGGCCCTGCTGGCGCGCCCCCTGACGCGCCAGCGGAACATCAGGAGATCGCGACGGAGAAGGATCGCAACAAGCTATCCAAACACTTGATGCGGTGAGGCCGTCTAGTCTTGAATACCGTCACGAATCGTGCCAGGCGGAAGCCGGCAGGATGCATTTTCACTTTGGAAATGCTTCAGGGTATCCACAGATATGCCCTCTGCAGAAGGGGAAGAACAGGGCGAGGATGGGGGAGGGGGAGGATGGGGGAGGAGGAGGAGGCGGAGGAGGAGAGCGAAGCTAGCGAAGCGATCAATTTTTTAGCCATGGGCCATGGCTGATGTCACGGACTCTTGGAGTCGAAGATGCGCCGGGCCGTTCCTGAGCGCACGTGGAGAAACAGCTTACCGACCCATGCCACTTGCGTTGCACGGCCGGCTGGCCGGCCGGCCGGCACAAGAAGAGGAGTGGAGGGATGGGGGAGGAGGAAGCAGGTCGTCGTGGACCTGCCCGCGGCTGGGCCCGGCAGCCGTGCTCCATCTCTTCCACTGCTCTGATCTGCTCTGAGCTGGGGCGGGGGGAGGAGGAGGAAGAGGAAGAGGAGGAGGGGGAGGAGGAGGAGGAGGAGGAGGAGGAGGAGGAGGAGGAGGAGGAAGAGGGGGAGGAAGAGGAGGAGGAGGATGAGAGGAAAGAGGAGGAGGAGGAGGAGGAGGAGGAGGAGGAGGCGGAGGAGGAAAGGGAGGAGGGAGGAGGAGGAGGAGGAGGAGGAGGAGGAGGAGGAGGGAGGAGGAGGAGGAGGAGGAGGAGGAGGAGGAGGAGGAGGAAGACGACGACGAGTAGGAGGAAGAGGAAGAGGATGAGGAGGGGGAGGACGACGACGACGAGGAGGACGAGGAGGGGGAGGAGGAGGAAGACGAGGAGGAGGAGGAGGAGGAGGAAGTGAAGGAGGAGGGGGAGGAGGAGGAGGAATACGAGGAGGAGGAGGAGGAGGAGGAGGAGGAGGAGGAGGAGGAGGAGGAGGAGGAGGATGGGGGAGAGGGAGGAGGAGGAGGAGGAGGAGGGGGAGGAGGAGGAGGACGAGGAGGAGGGGGAGGAGGAGGAGGAGGAGGAGGAGGAGGAGGCTTGAATTTTTGCGTGCACCAACGCGACCAATGACCGACCGTTGACAACGCCCCACCGAATGTCTTGAGGAAGCTTACAAATATTTCCGCGGGGCCCCAAGGTGTCGTCCTCGCGGGCGCGTCGGCCGCCCCGGTGGGGGGCGTTCCGTGTGATTTCAAAAAGCGGCACGCCCAATAACATCAGAATCAACGTGGCATTCCAAGGCCGCCATGGTGCAAGGAATCCTAAACAAAGGTCCACTGCGGAGCGTCATTGATGACATATTTGCTTTCGAAAATGCATCATGTTCCGTGTTGTTCCAAAGATTGCGTCAAGCCCCAGAAGGGGCGCGTTGCTTCGATCCGATATTTTTGTGTACAGGAGCGATATGTATCATGTGCAAAAAGCACATCACTAAACATCGGTTTGTCTTGGGCGTGATATTTTTCACGTTCCTGGCCGCGCGTTGTTCGCTGGTCAACGCTAAGAATTCTGGGGTGAATTTGCGGGCCGGGGAGAAGGGCCGCCGATCTGAAGTGGGTGCGAATCCGAGCATCCGCCCCCCACGCTGTGACAGCGATTTTCGCGTGCCTCTCGAAATGGACTTTCCCACCAGTAATGCGGCAAGGGCGCCGAGGCGAGAGCACCATTCCGAAGCACCGAAGGAAAACACAACGCAAACAGGGGGAAAACGTTAAAAACCTTCCAAGTCCGAGGCACATGTTTTACCAGCCTCGAACGTATCCCTATCCCTAAGATTGACACGCCAAAAGGCGATGACAATCTCAAGGATTCGCCCTCAAAAAATAAGGGAATCCCTAAGATTGGCATCGTGATGAGGAGGTGCCAAGCATAGGGATAGGGATATGTTCCAGGCTGGTAAATGTTCCCGGCTAACCTACCCCGAGTGGCGAAGCAGGAGACCGACCTAAGCTTGGTTAGCCTATCCTCGCACACGAGCCGCATTTGATCTGCAATTAGTCCACGATGGGTCCGCACTTGACCCCCAATCGAAACTGCATGTTGATTAACAATCCTATCGCGATCGACTCGCAACACGGATCCATGACTGAACCGCAACGAATCCGCAATTTGTTCATAACACGTGCCCAATCGAGTCACAATTCTTCAATGGACCCGACGTCAATCTACAATGGGGACAGGATGGGAACGATACCGCTACTCCTCAGACCTCTCCCAGGGTGCGTTCTGACCAAGAGTTCGAGGCGAATCCAGCGCGAAGAGGGCTTCCCAAGAAACCAACAAGGCGAAACCGAGGGACGGGTACCGGTAGCGGTGCCTTTTCGTCCCCTGATCTGCACCTAATTTCCAGCACGTCTATAGCGCATGCCCAAAATTTTCACAACGCCACGCCGCACTGAATGCGGCTTGTTTTGCCTTCTGACGGCAGAAAGTTTTGCCCTCCGAGGGCAACTTCGTTTGCCTTCAGCGGCAATGAGCTGACTGGAGGCAACAAAAAGTGCCTTCAGCAAACGTTGCTGCCAACAGCGGGCTACACAAGAGCTGCCTTCGTCGAGATGAAACCCACGACGCCGAGACCGCGCCGCACCGCGGCGGGACGACGCTCACGGCGCCACGACGCGCGACAACCCACGGCGCCGAGACGCCCCGACACTCGGGCGCCCACGGCGGACGCGGCGACGCCACGGCCACGACACCCTGGGAGCTGATGGCCGACGGGAAGCCAAAGCTCCCGACCGCTCGCACACAGCCCAGGCGACCACACAGCAGTCGTGCTGCAACAAAAAGCGACAAACGACAAGCGAGCCTTGTGCGGGATGGCATGCAGACCTTACGCGGTGGCCCACGCGGCCCGCCAGCGCGGAAAAACATAAGTACACCTGAAACGAGGGCGCCCCTTCGCGCGACGTTACTCGGGCAATTTACGCGCGAATGTCAGCGCAGTCGCACCCGTCGCTCACAAGGAGCGCTGAGGAAGGGGGGGCGGGCTTTTCTGGCCGCGGAGGGACTCGGCTACCTAAGGACGGCACAGTCCCAAAGATCAGAGCCCCATCCTAAGCCCGAGTCAGTCCTTGATCCAACCCCCTGGCTTTACTCCTGACTCGGTCCCGCGCTCTGCCTCGGTCCCGCGCTGGCTCGGCCTCGCACCCTGGTTGCTGAGGATTTAGGGTCCCTGTCCCCAACCGATGCCGCCCGTGCCCTAGCGTGAGGGGAAACGTCAGTAGAGGCCTCCTAGATCGGGTCCGAGTAGATGGGGTCGGAAAATTGCACCACATCGCCGATGCATCGCCGATGCATCGGCGATACATCGGCGACGTCGGCGGTGCATCCTGGCTCGGTCCCGCGCTCTGCCTCGATCCCGCGCTGCCTCGGTATCGCACCCTGGTTGCTGAGAATTTAGGGTCCCTGTCCCCGACCGTTACCTCCCGTGCCCTAGTGTGAGGGGGAACGTCAGTAGAGGCCTCCTAGATGGGGTCCGAGTAGATGGGCCGATGCATCGGCGATAAATCGGCGAAACATCGAGCCGCGTCGCCGATGCATCGGCGATGCGGCGCGTTCCTCTGACCTCACCTACTCCGACCCCATCTGGTAGGCCCAGAGTCATAGGGGGGACCGGCTCAGGGGCGGAGCATCGACCTGGAATCGGCGACGCATCGCCGGGACGTCTGGGATCTGCGCCCCGGATGGGGTCCGAGCAGATGGGGTCAGAAGACTGCACCACATCGCCGATGCATCGCCGATGCATCGGCGATGCATCCGCCACATCGGCGGTGCATCCTGGCTCGGTCCCGCGAACTGCCTCGGCCAGGAGGAGGAGGAGGAGGGAGGAGAAGGGGAGGAGGAGGAGGAGGAGGAGGAGGAGGAGGAGGAGGAGGAGGAGGAGGAGGAGGAGGAGGAGGAGGAGGAGGAGGAGGGGGGGAGGAGGAGGAGGAGGAGGAGGATGCGTCTGCGATCTGCTCGCCCGACCTCAGAACGGCGCCCCCCGTGGGCGGGGAGGGCCACATCGGGACCCTATACATCGGCGAGGCAGGGCGCTGGCGGGTCGATGTGCCCTCTCCCCGAGCCTAGAGACACCACCCCCCGACGCTGTCCCCCCTGGCCTTCGGGCCACAGCTCGGCTCCGCGGCGGCCACTTCGGTTGGGCGTGGCTTAATGGGGGGGTCACAAATGGGGGGGTCAGAAAAGGTCCCCTTTCGTGCCCCTTTCGGGCCCCTCCAGAGCCCCAGGGGGCTCGTTTAGGTACCGTTTGGGTACCTTTTCGGACCACCCTCGCCACCCCCCCATTTATGACCCCCCCATTACGCGGCGCCCAATTCGGGGACGACGCGGGCCCCCCGGGAACGCTCCTGGCAGGGCGCACCTGCTGGGAAGACAGTGGCTGGAAACCCGCCGGAAATCACAAGCGCATGCTTCCGGACACCTCCAACCTCGAGCCCGACACGAAAACGTTGCCTCTGATGGTTGCCGAGACGTTCCTTGGATCGGCCCTGGCCCTGTGAGACTGCCCCGGCTCGGCCGCTCCCGACCGTTCCCCCAACCAGGCCCTGCGCCCTGGATTCTCAGAGCGCCCTTGGCTCGGCCCTGCGCCCTATCATCAAGCAGCCTCATGAGCGAACCGCAACTTGGACGAAATCGGACTGGGACACATAGCGGATCTCTGCGATCCGGCGGTTCTGCAAGATGTAGTGGGCGCCACGGCCGTGGCAGAGCGCTCCGGAGCGCTCTAGAAGTGTTCCATAACTCTCTGGAATGGTCCATCCCAGGCCCAGGCCCGCCCGAAATGTTCTGCGGCCTGCGCGCTAGCCTCGATCAAGCCGAACGGCCTCAACCGGGGGCGCTGTGTTCCTCACTGCCCTGGGGGAACCCATCGTATCGGCGATCTCTCGAGAGGTGTCGCATCCGATGTGCCCCCCAGGGGGAAAGGACCACAGCTCCCCCCACAGAGGAGGCACGAACGTGCGAAGAGCTTGTATGAATATATCGTGCCATTGTCGTCCCTCGGAGATTGCATTGCTCTCGCCACTGCAATGTGTGCCCCGCCTGCCGCGAGAAGCACACAACGGCTGCCTACAGGACGTCGAGGAGCATTCCAGCGCGGCCACTCCGCAGCAACCTTGCAACAGCTGCTGGAGCGGCGCCGAATTATGGCCCTCACGTGGACTTGCACGTGAGGTATTGGACCCAGCGCATGCATTACAGGCAACATCTGTGTAGGAGTCCGTCTGGACTGCTGCCTCAAATCAGCGCAGCAACATGAGGATTCTGCCCATTAGAACCCGATACACATTGACTGCGTAATGGCGAATAGGGGAACTGTGGCTGGGGCTGCACGTTACTTAGGACAAACCTAGCCATGTAATCACATCGACGTGTTCAATTACCAGCGAAAGACTGTGCATTGCACATGATCAACCCACCTTCAAATCATCGCCAATAACATATGAATACCCCATGACGTCGCCCATAAAGCTTGGGAGGCCGTGCTGATGATCTGTTGCATGAGCCACACACTCGAGAGGAGCTGCCGCCCAAGGCTGGAACATCACCGCTGCGAGAGAGTAGACGCTGTCATAGGGATCGCAAGGGATGGTCATCCAGCTGTCCTCGAATTGGCCCACGCTCTCAAAGCCCTGCAGGGATGCAGCAGTGCCCTCGGAGGCCATGTACAGATGGCTGTACAGCTGAAGCTCGTGTGGGGAGACCTCACCAACCGAGTGCGCATGCGCGGCCGCAACCTCAATCCCACAGGCAGCGTCACCTGAGAGGGGGAGGGACGGAGCGAGGCCGAGGCTGAATCACAGCAGCTGTAGAGCAGGAGGGCAGAGGCGAGTAGGAGCCAGGGTGGAAGACGAGGAGCACGACCCGTACCGGGAGCAGAAGCGGGAAAAGCGAACGGGAGGAGGGGGGGGAGAAGAGTCTTAAAGACATTCGAATCCCATTTAAATCTGAACACATGTTATGTTTTGGCTGTTTGCTGCTGCATGTTAGGTGTAAAAACAAAAGGGGATAGGGGGAGGATGAGCACCCACAGCTCCGACGTCACCCACCACCTCTTCACGACGCCGAGCCCCAGAGAGGTCTGCATCCCATTCCCCGGGGCCGGCTCTCCTCGTCCCGAGTCGTGCTCTGGCGGTCCTGTGGGGCCCAGCGAGAGAGCACCCGCCGGGCCAGGAGAAGCTGTCCGTCCAAACACGTCCCGCCGTGTTGCCTCGCAGCGAGAAGAGGAGGAGGAGGAGGAGGAGGAGGAGGGAGGAGGAGGAGGAGGAGGAGGAGGAGGAGGGGGAGGAGGGAGGAGGAGGAGGAGGAGGGAGGGAGGGAGGAGGAGGAGGAGGAGGAGGAGGAGGAGGAGGAGGAGAGGAGGAGGAGGAGGAGGAGGAGGAGGAGGAGGAGGGAGGAGGGAGGAGGGAGGAGGAGGAGGGCGAGGGAGCAGGAGGAGACACCCTCCGTGCGGCGAGGGCCTCGTCGCCGCGGCGGCGGCGCCGCGCTCCCGCTGGGGGGCGCCGCCCCACGCCGTCGGGTCACCACTCGGCCCTCCCGCGGCCGTCGGGGACGATCTGTGCACCCCCCGAACTTCGGGGGCGCGCACGCATGGATTAGCGATCCATGGTAGAGGATCCTGAGCCCAGGATCGGTGCATGCGCCCTCCTACCTTGGCCAGGAAGGCATATGCACCGATCCTGGGTCAAGGATGGGCCTTGCCAGGATCGGTGCATGTGCATAGTTCCCTTTGCCCGACATGGATCTGGCTCGCGGTCGCCTAAAATCCGTGGATCGGGGGAGGCACCCTCCCCAAAATGCGGCCGGCGCCGCCCCGCTCAGCGGCGGAGATCCGCGATTTCCCATGGGAACGGGACCCGTCGCTAAGCCACGCCCCCCGAATCCGTGTCTGCGATCGCCCGAGAACGCTGTCGGCCGAGGCGCAGCTGCTGCACAGCGCCACGGAGGCGGAGGAGAGAGCCGAGAACCCACGGGCACGGCAGGAAGCCCTCTGCCTCGAAGCGGAGCGCAGAGGCTGTGGAGCCAGGAGGAACGAAGCGATACCCATACGGCTACTCTTATGTCGGGCGTGTCCCCCGACAGGGGGCTTCTCGACGAACAATGACACATAACGCTACTCCCCCGACCTAACCCCCGACATAACGCCAGTCCCCCGACCTCTCCCAGGATGCGCTCTGGCCAGTACTCGGGGCCATCTCCAGCCGTGGCGGCGAGGTCCTCCCAGGAGGAGCAAACCATGACGCAGCATAGGAAAGGGTACAGCGGAATCGGCATCTTGAGATCCGACGTCGCGAACCAATTGAAGCATCGCAGAACATCAAAACCAGAGCCCTAGACCCAACTTCCTCCGGCATTTTCCGAGCTGGATCGATGTAATTGCCCCGGGACCCGACACCGGCCAAAAACGCCAGGCATGAAACAGTTGCAACGCCTGGGACTCAGGGTACCTCTTCACTCCTCTTGGAGCTGGGACCCCCTGAAACGAAACATCGGCAAGCACCTACCGCCGTTTTGACAGAACGAGAGGTGATTCTCGGATCAGATGTCGGCTCCCCCGCGGCCGGTCGGGACGACCTGGGCAACCCCCGAAAGCATGTCGTCGTCGTGGTCGTCGTCGTCGTCGCCATGTTCGTCGTCGCCGCGGCCGCCGCCGCCGCAGCATGCCACAGCTGCTGGAGAGCACCCAGAGGCCAGAAAACCGCCGAGAACCAACGAGGGCGCCCCAAAATGAAGGGGCCCTGGGACACGCAGATAAATACACACGCAAATAAAGAGGATTCCTTATCTTTTCCCATAGTTTCTGGGTTTTCGTCTTCCCCCCCACTTTCCCATTTTTTCCCATATTTTCGGGGGAATGGGCGATTCCCTGTGTCTGTGTGCTTTTTTCCAGGAGAGCCCAGAATCGAATCGATAAGTCGGATCGGCGATCGAAATGAGTCGGATCGGCGGAAATCGGCGGCCGAGTCGGGAAAAGTCGGATCGGCGGACATCGGCAGGCTACTATGCGTCCCATAAGGAGTCGGAATCCGAATCGGAATCCCAGGTCGAATCGAATCGGAATCGGAAGCCATCGAAGTCGAATCGAATCGAATCGGAGGAATCGAAACGAGCCCTGTTTTTTCCCTCCTGACACAAGCTCGCGCCTCCAAGAGAGGGGGCGGGGGCCGTGGCCCCCGCGGGTCGCGACTCCTTCCCCGAGAGTCTGTCTCGTCCGGATTCCGGATCTCAGGAGGAAAAGAAACACACAGACACAATTAATCCTCGATTTCCCAGAAAATATGGGAAAATATGGGAAGTGGGCGGGAAGACAGAAACCCAGAAGGGGGGACACACAAATAAATACACACAAATAAAGATATCCTCCATGTTTTCTCATAGTTTCAAAGCTTTTGTCTTCCCCCCCACTTCCCATAGTTTCCCATATTTTCACGGGAATCGACGATGAATTGTGTCTGTGTGCTTTTTCCCCTCCTGAAGATCCATGTTTGATAGTCCTGGGGCCCAACCAATAGAGGCCTCCCAGATGGGGTCGGAGTAGATGGGGTCGGAGGATCCCGCCGCATCGGCGATACATCGGCGACGTCGGCGTGGCGAAAATCGGGCTCCTCATCGAGCCGCGTCGTCGTCGCATCGGCTATGCGGCGTGATCCGTCGACCCCATCTACTCTGACCCTATCTGGAAGGCCTAGAGAAAAGGTCCCTTGAGGGCCGAAATCGGGAAAAAAGCACCGGTTGACAAATCATAGCGTCAGAGATCTGGGGAGGTGGTGGAGAGAACGAGGAGCAAGGACCAAAAGGGGGCGTCCAAGAGGGGGGCGTCCAAGGGAGGGGCTTGCACGGGGGGAGGCTCGCAAAAGATGTCCGGAGGCATGTGCACGGCCAAGGGGGGGTGGGGGGCGGGGCAAGTGACGTATTGAAGCAAGAGGGGGCCATGAAACCCGGGGAGACATCATGGCGCTTGCCATGATATCAACGCACACACACACACACACTGCGCAATCACCCTCCTTTCTGTGGCAACTCACTGGAGCCTCCCATGCCATCTTGCCGCCTCTTGCGAATCGACGCTGACCGTCGACGCTAATCGCACTACATAGACGCTTGCTATTCGATTAACCGACGCTGGCGCTCGCGAATGCACTCTGAAGAACATAATCCCACCAGCCCTTTAAGGCGTAGGTGGTCCGGAGTGTTTTGTCTTCCATCTGCCCCTCGTCCCCTTCGGGGAGGGGTCCATCATTGTTCCTTAGTAATATACACCCCTTCTCCCACCCGGCCGGCGGCCAACCCAGAACCATGCCGACTCCATGTGGGCACGCCCCCCACCATCCCCACGCAAATCGCACTCTGGATCAACATTTGGAGCATGCGCGGCCAACCCGATTCCCCCCCCCCACCATCCCTGTCATAAAACAATACGAGGTACACTTTTGGGCAAAGTCTTGAGTCATGTTCGTGAGGCCCGCGAGTACTTTGTATTGTTCTTGATCGGGACGGCGGGGGTGTCAGCATATTCCCTGCCGTGCGCAGGGCTACCATCCCTGACAAAACCGATACAACACGCACCTCGTAGCGAAATCTGGATCATGCGCGGCCATCCCGCGATCACTGCCAAGTGGTATTTGACAGGGGCGGCGGGGGTGGTGTCGCGTGGCCTGCTGTGCGCAGGCTCGCCAAACACGATGATGGGCATTGGCTTTCGAGAAAAGATGGCGGGGGGCGGCAGGTCTCCCGATGCGCGCTGTCACGTGCGCAGGCGCACCTAACGCACTCTGCGCTTGCCCCTAACGTGGCGCACCTGGCGCGGCTGGAGTGTGCGGCACACCTGGCACACTCAGAGCACGTGGCCCATCTGGCACCAGGCGTGCCTGGCACGCTGGGGCCCCAAGGGTGCCTGGCGCGCGTGGCGCTCCTGGCACGCGTGGCGCACCTCGCCCAAGCGTCGCGCACCCGGGGTCGGCTTTGATTCCCAATAGTTGCCCATCCGAAGACGACCGCTGAACATGCTCAGGCTCGGGTGTTACTTATGTGTTGGAAGGGCGGGTGGGAATGACCTAGACGGCTTGCGTGCGGGTCGGTAGCTTGACCCCTCCCCCTAACCCCTCCCCTGGACATGGACGGGGGGTTCCGCGAGGGGTTGGAACGTCCAAGATGGCTCGGGTGTTACTTATGTGTTGGAAGGGCGGGTGGGAATGAGCTAGACGGCTTGCGTGCGGGTCGGTAGCTTGACCCTCCCCCCAACCCCTCCCCTGGACATGGACGGGGGGTTCCGCGAGGGGTTGGAACGTCCAAGATAGCTCAAGGTGGCTTCAAGAACGCCTCGGAGAGCCCAAGATGAGCTCCGAGATGGCTCAAGATATCCCAACATGCCTCAAGACGGCTCCCACTATGTTCCAAGAGGCCCCAAGACTGCTTCAAGACGGCTCCAAGCGGCCAAAAAGCTCCCCAAGGAAACACAAGGTGATGTGTTTTCTCGCCGTTTCGCTTCCGATGGACATGCGAGGCCTCAAGATGGCCCGAGAGGGCTACAAGCGAGGCCCCAAGACGGCCCCAATAGCGCCCAAGAGCGCTCCAAGTGCGCCCCAATAGCGCCACAAGAGGCGACGTTTGAGGCTCCCGAGGGGCAGCGCTAAGTAAAGCTCTCCTCTTGCTTGGTCGATGTCCTCCACCAGAGGGGTCCAAGAGGCGCCCAAGAGGCCTCCAAGAGACTCCCAAGAGACCCCAAAGAGGCACAACAAGCTCCCCGAAGCTCCGAGAGGC